GGTGGATCTCGTCTGCCGAGCGCCAGCGCCATAAATCAAAGCCCTGCGGTTTTGTGCAGAGCTAAAAAACCTCCCTTCTCCCCTGCTCCACCCCGGCATAACTATTTTCGCTCGGTGTCAAATGCCCCGTCGGTGGGAGCCGGGGGCTGGGATTTGGGCTCTGGCTGGGGGAAGGCAGGGAGGCAGCAGCAGACCCGGCTGCTCCGGTTCGTATCCTCCATCTCTTCCCCGGGGCGCCGGCCGGGCTCCCGTGGTGGGAGAGAAGAGAAACCCCGGCGCCGAGCTCCAGCCACTCTCCTCCCGTCCTGCCAAGGGCTGGCAACCGCGGCGCCACCGGCCGCAAGACACGAGCCCCGTCCCAGAGGGGTGATGGGCACGCAGACCAGTTTGAGACTGGTTTCGTCCCTGTCCCTGAGGAGCTGAGGTCCTCTCGTTACCAGGGGGGTCCTGCAGGACCCACCTGTGCTGCTGTTGGGGCTCTGTGTGTGTGTGTATGTGTGTGTGTAGGGATGTGCACGCTTCATGCTGTGCCCAGGATGGTTTCCATCACCAGTTTTGGGAAGGGAATCACAGAATCATAGAATCGTCTGGGTTGAAAAGGACCTTTAAGATCATCTAGTCCAACCGTCAAACCTAACTCTGACAAATAAAAATAAATAAATAAATATAACACTAAACCATATTCTTGAGGACCATGTCAACCCGTCTTTTGAACACCTCCAGGGATGGTGCCTGAACCCCTTCCCCAGCCCATTCCAATGCTGGATAACCCTTTCCATGAAGAAATATTTCCTAATATCCGATCTAAACCTCCCCTGGCATAACTTGAGGTCATTTCCCCTTGTCCTATCTCCTGTGACTTGGGAGACGAGACCAACCCCCGCTTCTCTACACCCCCCTTCAGGTAGTTATAGAGAGCGAGAAGGTCTCCCCTCAGCCTCCTCTTCTCCAGGCTGAACACCCCCAGCTCCCTCAGCCTCTCCCATAAGACTTGTGCTCCAGACCCCTCACCAGCTCCGTTGCCCTTCTCTGGACCTGCTCCAGCACCTCAATGTCTTTTTTGTGGTGAGGGGCCCAAAACTAGACACTTTCACTGAATTTCACTGAATTTTTAGAGTTGGAAGGGACCACAGAGATCATCTAGTCCAACTCCCCTGCTGAAGCAGGACCACCCAGAGCTTGTCAGAGCACGTTACTCAGGAGCATCCAGGCAGGTCTTGAAAGTCTCCAAAGAAGGGGACTCCACACCCTCCCTGGGCAGCTTCTTCCAGGGCTCTGCCACCCTCACCATGAAAAAGTTCTTCCTCATATTCAAGGGGAACCCTTTATGTTCCAACTTGTGCCCGTTGCCCCTTGTCCTCTCACTGGCAACTACTGAAAAGAGTCTGGTTCCCTCCTCCCTCAGCCCACCCTTGAGATACTTGTAGGCATTGATAAGGTCTCCCCTCAGCCTTCTCTTCTCCAGACTAAAGAGTCCCAGCTCTTTAGCTTTCTTCCCCTCCAGCCAGACACCAGGTGACACTGGGGGTCCCATCCCTGCTCCATTTCGGCGCTGAGAGGGGCAGGAGCTGACGTGGGGCTCGGAGGAGCTGCAGGTGTGTGCTGGAGAAGACAGGGGGGGAGCAAACCTCCCTCCCTACATACCTGACGGGGACGTGGCCACGCAGCACAGGGCAAGTCCAGATGTGCTGCCAGCCACCCAGCAAATTCCTCAGCGCTGCGTCAGCCGGCCGTGGCAAACAGGCCTCCTCAGCACAGGAAACCTGCCCCCGTGGAGGAAGAGATTAACAGCTAGGTGAGGAAGAAGAAGGCAAACAGACTTCCCCACACCCTCTCCCCCCCCTCCCCGGCCAGGGGGAGAGGTAGGAAGGAAGGGAGGTGGGGATATAATTGTGTCTCCAACCTGGATCCAGCCTCCCCAGGAGCAGAAGGACACGCTCCGAACGCTGCTCGGTGGGTGGAAATTCACAGTCTGTGGGAGCATTTTCTGGGTTTCCTCCTAATACTGGAAAAATCCACACAAGCAGGATGAGCCTTACCTGTGGACGAGCACAGCCTGCCCGGGCTGCCAAAATCACCCAGCCTGTATCACGTCAGGAAGATGCTTTAGCAGAGATGCTCCGGGTTTGGTTTTTTTTTTTCCCCTTAGAGCACCCCTCCCCACTCTTCAGCACTAAAAGAGGGGTGAGGAGGCTGCTCCCCCCACATCTCCACCTTGGCACAGCAACTCCCAGCCCCACTGGGGACCCTCAGCCCGCACTGACCTCAGCCTGCTGTTTTTGGGATGGTTTTGGCACCTGGAGGTAGGGTCACACACAGAGTTGCCAGGTTTGACGGGGCCAGGAGGGGAGCAGCCCCCCGTGCACACACTGCTGGGGCTCAGCCCCCACCTTGTCCTGCATTTATTTGCTCTTCTGCCCATAATTGCCTGCACATGGGCACTCACAGCAGAGCAGCCAAAGGGGGTGGCTTGGTTGAGAGGCCAAAACCACTTCACTGAGCATCAACCCGAGCGAGATGAGGCTCCTCTGCTGATACCCAACAGCTCAGCTCCCTCTGCACCCACTAAAGTTGGAGTCAATCACAGAATCACCCGTTCATGCAATGATTTGTGTTGGGAGGAACCTTAAAGATCATCTAGTTCCTACCCCCACTGTGCGTTTTAACCAATTTTAAATTGGTTTAAGCTAAGCCTGGTGGGGGGTGGCAGGAGGTTGATGCTGTCTCCATCCTCACTGGGGCTGGCTCCGACGAGCCAGGCGACCTGTTGGCAGCTCTGCAGGCTCCGTGACAGCTCAACCCCAACACACACCTCCTGGATTTGCACGTCTGGCAAAGATAACCCTGCCCAGATACCAGCTCCAGAGGATATGGCATCTTTATATTTTTTTTTCCCCCAAGAGCCCACCCCAGCAGCCACAGCAGCAATGGGTCTCTGAGCCCAGGGCAGGAGGCTCAGGTGTGTAAAAGCTGGTTTTTTTGGGGAGACAGAGGGATCTGAACCATAGAATGGTTTGGGTTGGAAGGGATCTTAAAGATCATCTAGTTCCATGGGTAGGGACATCTCCCACCAGCCCAGGTTGCTCCAAGCCCCCTCCAACCTGCCCTTGAACCCCCCCAGGGATGGGGCAGGTCTGCAGGTCCCGTGCCTCAGTTTCCCCGCTGCACTAAGATGGCTCTGACCACAGCCCCACTGCAGGTACCGTGCCTCAGTTTCCCCACTGCACTAAGATGGCTCTGACCACAGCCCCACCACTCCGGTTCCCCGTGGTCAGAGCCCCCGGGGGAACGTGTCCCTGCTCCTGCCGTGAGGACTAGTCGTGGCATGAGGGAGACACACCCGGGCCCAGCCCGGTGCTCAACCCCAAACTGGGGGATACTGGAGACTCCGCTCCGGAGTCCCGGTTCCAAATCAAGCAAAACAGGAACTTCAGCCCAGACCATTCCCGACCGGGCGGGCTCCCGGCTCCTTTCCCCGGGCTCCCGGCTCTTTTAGACCCTTCCCAAAATCTTCCCAAGGCTCCAGCCTGGCTCCCGGTCCCGGGGGGGGGGGCACGGACGCCCCGACGGTCCAAACCCCGGCGGCGTCCACCCAAAACACCCCC